AAGTACCTAAAAGAGTGTCATAAGGAGGAGGGAGAAAACTTGTTCACCTTAGCCTCTAAGGATAGAACAAGAAGCAATGGGCTTAAACTGCAGCAAGGGAGGTTTAGGTTGGACATTAGGAAAAAGTTCCTAACTGTCCGGGTGTTAAACACTGGAATAAATTGCCTAGGGAGGTTGTGGAATCTCCATCTCTGGAGATATTTAAGAGTAGGTTAGATAAATGTCTATCAGGGATGGTCTAGACAGTATTTGGTCCTGCCATGTGGGCAGGGGACTGGACTCGATGACCTCTCGAGGTCCCTTCCAGTCCTAGAATCTATAAGCTTCAGGGAACAGATTTGTTTGTTTGTTCGTTTTTAAAAAAGGATTTCTGAACTAAGGGGAAATTTCTCCAAGGGTCACATGAAAGAAAGCAGAAGTGGGTGTCACAGACAAAGGGAGGGGAGATGGAGAAAATGAATGCAGATGAGGAGACGCTTGACTCATGCAGAGGAGAGAGAAAAGCCTCTGCAGCTTCAAGTAAGAAAAGACATGGTCAGGGAAGTGGGAAAGGATGATCCTGGCAGCTGCATGGTAAATGGCCTGTTGCTGGGATAACAACACTGAGGTGACACCAGGCTTGTGTCTGACTTGTAATGTGGTAATGTCAAAGAGACTTACCTCTCACTATTCTACATGCGTTAGGTATGAACTAGGGAAGAGATCCACACTCCTCTGAGCTTCGCTCCTGCAGAGAGGTCAAATTCTCATTTTTCTCTTTCCAAAACCATCAGAAACGGCATCCCTGCTCCTCTTATAGTCTACAACTGGCCTTACTCCCACAGCTGCTTAGCCTTTAAATCAGAACATTGGCATTTTCCAGATCTGGCTGCCAGATGAATGCTTAGGAGGCATGTTTTATTGATGGTGCTTGCCCCAGGGAGAAAAACAGTTAAGATGACTTCTATTCAAACAAAAACACAGCTTACTCCCGCCCTCCCCAACTGCCTTCCATTGACATAGGCTCTAACTTTCACCTTTGGGTCTGAAACTTTCCAGCTCTCACCACAGACATGAGGAGTGGTTGTTGGGTTGGTTGTGTCTGGGGTGTGGGTTTTTTGGTAAATTCTGGTGAAATGAATTGAGCTGCATTTGAATTATTGAGCACATGCAGCTCAGCACTGCCATTAAGCTTCTTGCTCCTAGTTTCAGCGTCGTCTAGCTTGTGGCAAGAGCTGCCTGAACAAGAGGCTAAGTAGGAAAGGAACTAGCAAACTGACAATTTGAATGATGCGAGGGGAGGGATTTGTAAATGTCTAATTGAAACAAGGGCAAAATCTTTCCACCACAAAGTGAGACTGTAAACACTGCATTCATCCTGCTAGTGGGAATCTCCACCACCTAAGTAAGTTTGAATGGGTAGTATGGTGTCTTACTTCTCACCCCAATCAATTATCTGTTACACAGAGGACCTAGGGTCCATCCACTCCCACTCGATGAGATGGGGAAGGAGGCACTGCAATGACAGAGCAAGGGAAGCCTCTCTCATGCACAACAGCCCCAACATGGACATACCAAAGAGAGGAAGGCAGACCATTGATGTCAATGAGTCACCATGCTCAACAATATTTCAGGAGGTACTGAGAAGTGGGGCAGAGTTCCCAGGCTATGACTTCAGCCACTGATTTTTTTTTAAGGTACCAGAGCTCAAGCCAAACACGGACTCAGAAAGAAGACAACAGGAGCAGCATTGGACCCATTAAGTCAAATAAAACCTTTCTTATCCTATTAATGCCTTTAATGTTTTAGTTAGTGTGTGGCAAGGCCATTTCTGTCTCTACTGTAGATAAAACCCAACAGATTAATTCTTTCTTCAAAACTTTCTGAAATCAGATTTGGGTTGAGAGGCTATTGTGCTCATCTATATTTGTTCAGATTATAAGAAGACAAGTTAATATATTTTATTTCACAACACAGACTATACATAATTTTTCTTTTACACATATTAAATGAAATACATAGATTACATAGTTTACATGGAATTGAAAAGTAATACATAGTAAGACACAGTAAGTGATACAGTATCCACAATATTAAATTAACATTATTCACAAACTTATTTAAAATGTAAAAACAACCCCACACATTTGCAGACACTGAATATCTCCAACTTCCAATCAGTATCTAGGATTGTTTTTTCAAAGGCAGTCAGGATTATAATGCACAGAGACAACATCTTGCTGACAAAATGTAAAACATGACAAAATAAAAATCCTCTTATAAAAGTCCCACTGAAGCACTATCTGTAAACTCATACTAAACCTGTGAAAGTAAAATGACCAAAAATTCTTGTCCTGGAAAGTAACATCCATCTGAAGATCTGTATTAAATACATAAATATAATTCCCAGATCAGACTCATCTTATCCACAGAAAGAAAAATGAAACAACCTTGAAGGTTTGTTTTTAAAAATTTTAAACAATTAAAAATTTAAAAACCATCTTTGATCTCCTCTATAGTGCAAGGGACAATCCAAAAAGCATTACAAAACTTTATTCTTTTTTGAAGCTGTAAGTAACCATATAGATCAGCATAACTACAAGGTTCAGTACTGCCAGTGATCACTTAAGCCAGCTGTGTCCAAAGTGTCCCGGGCGCTAGCTCACAGAGGCTCTGGATGTGTTGGGAGAACTTCATGCTATATTCTGTGCTTTGTATCATTGCCCTTTCTGGCTGGTGAGCAGTTGTATGACCCAGTACTTCTGCACTGAGCTTTCCCACCCAGGAAGCACAAGGATTCTAAGCACAGGATATGGCATGAAGTTCTTCCAACACACCCACAGACTCTAAGCAACCTTGGCTGAAACTCAAGCAGGGGAAACCCTGCCTCCATAGACATACTTAGTCCCAATCTGATCCATTTTACCCCCAAAATGACCTGCATTACCTTACAACAGAAGGGACTCGTATTGGCAACCAGGTGCAGACAACCCAGATTAGCCAAGCTATCCACCACCAGGAACTGATCCACCAACAGACCTTACAGATGCTACGATGGAGATAAACATTTCTTTGCCTCCTGCACTACCACAGCATGAGAATTCAAGAAATCTGTGTGATGCAAACTATCAGCTTTGGCATGAGACTTTCACCACCAGCGCATCTGTCTTCCTTATCATGTCATTTCCCCCAGGTCATCCATAAGCCAGGGTGACCTGTGAAGATAAGCTGGGGGAAAGAGTGTGCCTCGTGACCACTATTGCTGGCTGAGGCCAAAAGATCACGGCCTTCCACCAGGTTTGTAGAATCAAGTCCTAATTTAAGATGAAGAACAGGAAGAGACACAGATATGATGTAGTCCTCAGGATCTGGCAAGTCCACCAGTAAGCCCCTCAGAATCCCAAAGTACGGGCATCCTTGGCCTAAATTCATTACATTCCTAAAAACAACCTACAAGAACTATGAACTGATTGTGTAAATTGATGTTACTTTAAAAAAAATGACTAATGCTCTATAGGGAGTAAAAGGAGAGTGGTGAAACAAAGGGAGATGCAAAAGAGGAGGGGAGCAACAATAGAAATAAGACAACTCTGTTTGACTCAAGGACACCTCTTCAGTGTCTTTATAGCAGCTGCCAGCCGATAACTTCCAGGGATTTTTTAAATGAAGGCAGTGTATTCTGGCTCTCAATATAGATGTTGAATCTCCTGCATACGAGATAAACTTCCTAAACCTAGAGCATTTAAGTAGACTATATATGTATGATGTAGAGGTTAGAACAAAGGGCAGGGAACAAGGAAGAATCCAGTCACAGTCATTACCTCAATGTGTGTCCTCAGGCTAGTCACTTGATCTCCTTATGCCTCTTACAGCTGGAAAACTGGAATGGGAGAGGAGGGGAGCAGGAGCTCACTGAAATCGTCATTCATAACTAGAGTGGGGAAATAAGTTATGAAATCAAAAACCCCTCCCAGTTCCAGGTTTGTAATAAAAAGTGCATGCTAAAAGCACTGAGAAGGATGCATTATAGAAAAATACAGCAGAATGTGGATATTCAGTCATGAAGCATAAAAATATATTGGAAACAGTAAACAAGAAAACTGGTCAATTACTGCCATGACTTTTACAAGGTATAAATCATGATAATTTGCCCCCAAAAGTTTCAGTACAATTTGATTTATTACTGTTTAAACACAGTAACTGTTTAAAAAAATAGATTTAAAGTACCACTAACCCTTTTGAGTTTAGCAAAGCGTCTGTGTTAAAATGGCACTAAAGCTAGCCAGGCTGTGTATTCGGTCAAATTAACGCATTCTTGGATACACAGGAGGCTTTGGCTCTTATTTTCAAGGACTTGTATTACCCAGCTCCACTATGCTGACTGCTATGTCTTGCGGTTTAATCAATCGTCATTCTAAGCAAAGATGTGTCGAAATACATTTCAATTAGATTGCCCAGGACATGGTTAGATCCTCTTTAGGGATCAAGGAATCAAGGAAGAGTTCCTGTAAATATAACAGACTAAACTTTGTATTTGTTGGAATAGTTTCAGGTTATGCCTATTTGTCTAAACTGAAAAAAAAATAAATCATACAAGCTAAAGCAAACCTCCCTGCAAGAATCCAGAAACCAATTGCTGATAATCACGAAAGAGTTACGTTCTTCAATGGAAGTTTTCCACACATAACATTCCTAAACAATTGCTGCACTTGGGAGCACTATAACAACTGAATAGACATGGTTACTTTATACAGGAGTGTTTGTGTCTCCAAGTTTTACCCCCTTAATCTGAAACTCTTCTTTCTGTATAGGTTCCAGAAATTAAATCCCCTCCCCCATAAGTTTCTCCCCTAACACAGGAGAGACATGCTCTAAAAATCATTCCCCTGGCAAATGTTCACAATCATTTTCATGGGTTAGCAGTAATCCAATTAGTTCCAAATATCCACAAGCTCGTCTGTTCCACTCATCTGAATCTTTCGAGACTCCAGAATGGATGATTAGTTGAACTATATTTTACAATTGAATAGGAAATATTTTAAGTGTCTGTACCAGCCAAACACACATACATTAGGATACAGAATGTTCAGTTTCTGAAGCACATCTTGGCTAACTATGTTCAAGAGGAACATTATTACTGAAAAAACTCAGTGATCAAGATTTCAAATAATGTTGACATACACAAGCTTTTTAAATACATGAGGGATAGTCTAGTGGTTTGAGCACAAGGATGGGGAACCAGGATCTCCTGCATGCTCACCCTAGCTCAAACTCTATCTGTGGACTTGGACAAGTCATTTAATCTGTCTGACTCAGTTGCCTTATCTGTAAAATAGAAAGGCTAGCTAGTGACTTGAAACGGCTATTGTGAGAATTCAGTTGTCAATATTTGTAAACTGCTTTGAAGATTAAACATACCACTCAGGGCTATGTATTTTAATTATTTTACAAGCACAATTCCCACTGACAGTAACAGGAGTACTGCATGTGTAGAGAGACGAGACCTCGAAATGTCCATACCTGGCTCTAAGAACTACATATTTAAAAAGTCACCATGGCACATTTGATTATGATCCAGGAAAGCACTTAAACACATTCTTAATGTCAAACATATTCCATCAAAATCTATGGGCTTGTTTGCTGGATTGGGGCCTACATGAATTACATTTGGGGCCTACATGAATTACATTTTAGACACATTTATCCCCTTTTGAATTACACTGCAAATGTAAATTGATACTTCTTCTCATTCTCAATGATTCATCTAAATAATTATAGAAAAGACCTAGTATATAATAACTGTGTTAAATAAAAGATGTTTCAGAAAGGTAATACATCTAGAAATACAAAATTACGGTCAATGTGCCATTCTTCATTTATGCCCTCAAACAAATGCACACACCATTTACTGTGGATTTTTGTGCAGCTCAATTTAGATACATTAAAATATCTTTCACACATAACACTGATGCTGGCTACGTGGAGGGCTTTAAGGTTCATCGGTGTCCCGTGTGGAAAAAAATTATTATAAACCTCCTCCCTGAGTTTCTGGCAAGAGCATCCCGAAGCTCCTGCGCTAGTCTCCGCTTCAGTGAGTGCTTGAAGCTGGGAAAGCCAAAGTAAGAAAAGATGCCTACAGCTTTCAGGTTAATGAAGTAATTCTTTGTTGTTACTAGATTGTATAGTATTTCTCTGATAGACTCCCTACATCTCTACACAGTCTGTCGGGGGACTCCAGGACATTTTTGCTGTACAAATGTGAATCTTATTGCTTCTACCGTTGGCAATACTTTAAAAAAAAAAGTTACATGCTATGTTGAATGTAAAGAACAGATCAGGAATTAAGGGTTAGGTTTCAAAACAGTTTGCAAAAACAAATCAAGGGTCTCAATGGAAAAACAGGAACAGGGAAGGGCGGAGGGAAAGAAGTAAACTGTGCCAGTGGCTGTTAGCCAGTCTGCATCATCAGTCAACAAATATGCTAGCACCTTCCCAGGGGAACAAAATCTCTGCGCCCATGATATAAAGTGTATAATTTTTGTCCCAACAAATTCCAACCATTAATTGCCACCTATTTGAATCCACTATTTAGCTGTCTGTACAGGTAACGTGTTCTGCACTGTATCACAGCCATGCGACCCTCATGTAGTATTGTGGTATGTAGGCAAAAAGGGCCATTATGCGCAGCACAAGGAAGGCTCTGCCTCATTCTGTTACATTCTTTGGTCCTACAAATCTTTAGTTACCATTCAAGAAACAACTGTCAACTTGTCGGGATACTAAAACATACCTTTCTTAAAGTAAAATAAACCTCATCCCATTCCCGGTGGTTTTTATAGATATACAATTTTAAAATTTAACACTTGGCGTTTTTCATATTAAGCTCTCAAAGTGCATCACAAAGATGAGGAGGTATCATTATTCCCTTTTTACAGATGGGAAACTGAAGCACGAAGAGGTTAAGCAACTTGCCCAAGGCCACACAAGAAGTTAGCTGGAAAACCGATAATAGGGTAGGTGTCTCTTTGCTCTGTTCAAACCATTGGTCAATGCATATATAGAGGTTTTTTAAGAGACTAATAATTTTAATGCAAATATTTGGGCATGCAGCAACCTAAAAAATAATTAAACAGAACTCGGTTTTTAACAATTTCTCTCCCCCAAATCATCACAATTAACAGAGATTTCACTGTAATCTAGGTTTTGCAATTTGCACAATGAAAACATTTGGAATTTTTATACAAAATATTCCACTCACTATTAGCAGGTTCCCTTCGGCATCACTGGAGAACCAAAAAATGATAGGCATCCTCTCCAAAGATGCTGCGAAAGATGCACCATACTTTTAGGTACGTACATTTTGGGCTAAACAGGCTGCACTTACTGTTCCTTTGACAACAGGCAGGGCAGCATGACTTTCATAACAAAACTATGTTGATGACATGAAACAACCACATGATCCATTTATCAGAATGGAACGGAGGCCCTGATATTTATCCAGATAAGCGACAGATTCTGCACAGAAAAGATACCTTACAAGTGCTCAGATACTACAGTGACAGAGTGGTATAAATACTTTTAGGGTGTGTCTACACTTTAATGCTGCAGCTGCACTGCTATAGCACTTCAGTTTAGACACTACTACCTACACCGATGGTGTAGGTAATCCACCTCCCCAAGAGGCAGTAGCTAGGTCAATAGAAGAATTCTTCTATCGCTGTCTACACAGGGGTTAGGTTAGTATGTTTCTCAGCTATGTTTCTCAGGGGGTGTGAGAGATGTAGCTATACAAATATAAGTTCCTAGTGTAGACCAGCCTTTGGACTAGGCAGAGATAGAGAAATAGGCAGATAGGAGGAGAGATCTGCACGGACATAACTGACTAGAGATAGAGTGTTTGATTAAGGGCTTGTCTACACAGGGACATCCAGGAAAATTAATCTGAGTTAGCTAAAAGTGTGAATATGAAGTGGATTAGTTAAACCAAATTAAAACCCTGCGAGAACTTCTTTATACAAAATAGCAATGGCCTTAATTCAGTTTGGAAGTGAACTAAAAGATAAAGTGGCCTTAATTCAGTTTAATTCTGAATAACAGCACCCACAAAGAGATTTAATGAAGTTTAACTAATCCACTTTAAAGTCACACCTTTAATTATCTGGATTAATTTTCTTGGATGTGCCTGGGTATATAAGCCCTAAGAGAGGTTCTAAGGTCACTGAAAAAAATCCATTGTTATGCAGATGTTTGGAGTCATTCTACATCTATACAGCATTCATTAAATATATATGAGGGTTAACAGATCAGTGTTTTGTTTTGTTTTTTTCCAAATTTAGAACTTGCAAAATGTGATGGTATACGCCAAGAAAAAGTCAAGTCAATAAAGTTATTTAAAGCAGTTACGGAGTATACTCCCCTGACATCCTCCTGCACAATTCTTCTCAGTTTCTGTCAAAAAATGAACACGTATTAGGCAGTAACAATATCTAAATCACGGTAAAATATTTTGTTTAGAACAAGTCCAGCCAATAGCAATATTAACTCTCACAAATTAAATCACAAGACACAGAAAGTATGCTCATAATGAAAGCACAATGGCTCTTATGTCTGGGGTTTTCTTTAAACTGGATTTAAAGTTTTCAATATCTGGTAGAGCATGTGGTAATTAAGGGCTTTAATTAAGATACAAATGATACAAGAACAAGATTTTCTTCCTCCTGTCCATTTCTTTTTAATATAGTGAACCAGAATAAGTTGCCATATAATCTACTGGCACAAATGTTAGTGCCAGAATATTACCACGAGATAAACATGATCAGAAAGAACAAAGTCCCCATTGTAGCTTCTCTTGGGAAATTTCTAAAATGTGATCCTATCACAGTCAAGCCCAAAGGTATGCTTTTAATCACTGCAGCTGAGATTTCCATTTCTGTCAACAATGCTGAAAAGTCAGACCAGAGCAATGTCCCATTTATACAAAGCCATGAGAATTGGGCAAGCACCACTGAACGACCCAGAAAAACCAGTCGTATTTTAACTGAGTCATTAAATAAAGCATTTCTCCTAACAAGAATCTTGGGCTCATAAATTTCAGATTTTGGATCTGAAGGGGGCTGTTTAGTAGAAAGTTCAGTCTGTGGCTTAGGGATCCCTTCCCCTCCAAAGAAACCAAAGTTGAGGAGCCAGCTGATAAGTGAAGGACTCATTCAAGTCTTCACTCAACTTAGGGCTTGTCTACACGACAACATTCGTCAACTTTATCTAATTCGACCTGGAGTGTCCGAATTAATTAAGTCGACTGTGCATGGCCACACCATGCTCATTGTCTCAATGGAATGCGTCCTCACTAGCAGTGCCTGCATCGATGCACAAAGCTGTGCATTATGGGTAGCTACCCCAAAGTGCAACTTGCCGCAGTGTGTTTTGGGAAGTTTGTGCAATGCCTCATGGGAGCAAAACGTTGCAAGGGAGAATGGGAACATTGCGTCGGCATCCCATGATGCACCGTCCTCCCTCCCTCATATCAACGGCAAACCACCCAGTGGCTTTCGTGCCTTAAAACTGCCGCATGTACGCCGTAACCCCAGAAGCATGGAGCCTGCTCAGTTGCGCACTCTTGCTGTGAGCATCTCAAACACCTCACGCCTTCTCCTGCAGTATTTCCAGAGCTGAAGTAGAGTTCGCCACACGGAACATAGCAATGTCCTGCAAGCAGCCCTGCTGCAAGCCATTGGGGGAAAAAACAAACAAACAATTCACAGTTGCTGCTGGCAGTCACAGAGCAGCTGCACTCTGTTGAGAGCCGTTTCTGGTCCCATGAAACAAGCACTGACTGGTGGGACTGCATCGTTTTGCAGGTATGGGATGATGAGCAGTGGCTGCAGAACTTTCGAATGTGGAAGGCCACCTTCCAGGAACTTTGTGCAGAGCTTTCCCCTTCCCTGCGGTTCAGCAACACAAAAATGAGAGCTGCTCTGACAGTGGAGAAGCAAGTGGTGATCGCTATTTGGAAGCTTGCAATGCCAAACAATTACCAGTCAGTGGGGAATCAATTTGGAGCAGGTAAAATCAACCGTGGGAGCTGCTGTGCTCCAAGTGTGCAGGGCCATTAATCGACTTCTGCTACAAAAGGTAGTGAGTCTAGGAAATGTGCAGGACATAGTGGATGGTTTTGCAGCAATGGGGTTCCCTAACTGCAGTAGGGCGACAGATGGCACGCATATCCCCATCTTGGCACCAGACCACCCTGCCAAAAAGAGTACATAAATCGATGTTGAGCTGCCTATAGTTATCCTGGGGGGCCCAGCCTACCCCTTGCTTCCATGGCTCATGAAGCCATATACCGGCCGTCTGGACAGCAATAAGAAACGGTTCAGCTATAGGCTCAGCCAGTGCAGAACGATGGTTGAATGTGCCTCTGGTCGTTTGAAAGGGCGCTGGAGAAGTTTACTAACAAGGTTGGACCTTAGTGAAGAGAACATCCCCATGGTTATAGCTGCCTGCTGTGTGCTCCATACCTGTGGGAAAAAAAGGGGGGGGAATTTTCCGCAGGGGTGGGCAGTTGAGGCAGATCACATGGCAGCCATTTTTGAGCAGCCAGACACCAGGGCAATAAGAAGAGCACAGCAAGGGGCGCTGCGTATCCACGAGGCTTTGAAAAGCTGTTTCAATAATGAGTCACAGTAACGTGAGCTGCTTGTCTGCATTGTGCTTTCCCAAACCTTCACTTGGCTTGTATCACTGTCCCTGTAAAGCCAACCCCCCACCCAAGCCCACTGTTTCTACTCAATAAAGAACACTTGTTTCTGGAATCCATTTATGTACATTATTTAACAACCATAAGTCAAGAGGGAAAACAGACAAAAAAATTAGCCTTGGGGAAAAGGGGTTGTAAAGTTGGAACAGGAGAAACATTTCTAGCTGTGTAACATAACGCCGCATTCTAGACCATCAAAGGTCTGTGAATGGATACCTTCTGTTCCTTGTACCCTCCTCCCGAGATAATTGAAAGGGATAATGGACTTTTCTCCCAAGCCTCAGGGAACGCTTTGGGGAGGGTGATTCTGTGCAAGGCGATGCTGGCTGGCTGTCCACCGGGGTCTGCAGAGGTACTCTACCCTCCTGCTTCTGTTCCTGCAGTTCAGCCAGATGCCTCAACATGCCTGCTTGGTCACAATCCGAAGCATCTCATCCTGCGCCGCACACTCTTGCTCAGTGGAAGCTTTCCTGCTCTCCCTGTCCATGTCTAACTTCTCAGATAGTGAAATCCTCCACCCTCTCAGCTCTGTGTTAGCTGTCCCAGAGGCGTTCATTATCTCAGTGAACATGTCCTCCCGTGTTCTCTTTTGCCTTCTTCTAATCAGCGAAAGTCTGCTTTCAAGTGTTGATGACGTGCCAAAGGACACATTTTCAGCTGGGGGTCAGTCATGGGAAAAGAGAAAGGAGCCATTGTACATGCATAAAATGTTTCCATGGCAAGGCCGTTTTCATTAAAACAAAACAAAACAAATAAAACCACCCTTATTACACTAGGTGCAAGCCATAACAATCAGAATCTGTAACCATTCACTGCACCGTTTTGCTGTTCTAGCCATGGTGAATAGCTCCTCCTCTCCCCACCAGTCATGGGTGACTGCACTTTTAATGAAGTTTATGGCAGGCTCATGTCGGGAGCAGAGGTAGCTAGTCAAACAATGGCCCTGCCCCATAGTACCACGGAAAGCTGTTTACAAACAGGGCAGGGCGGGGGGTTGGCATTTTCACTCTCAAATTGCAGAATCTCACATATGGGGCCCCAGTCCCCTAACAGCCACTTAAACTACTTGCCAACCCATGCCGAGCACAGTAAAGGCACCTTAGCAGCCACGTGGTTTGGCGATCCGGAATGTGGGGTTGGGGAGGAGGGCTACATGCTTTTTTTTTCTTGTAAGAGCACTTTTAATGAGAACTTCCCCCATTTCCCCTAGGCGACCCTATGTGATATCAGTCTCCTGAGGATAACAGAGATGGAAAGGAAGTAGATGCTGCAAGCATCTGGGTATAGACCCGGTCCTTATGCTGCTATGCTGTGTACCACAATGATGCTAGCAGAATTAATTCAGGAGTTGCGTGGGAAAGTGTCCTATCATGGTGGAAGAAATAAGACTGCGCTGCCCAGAAACCTTCTGCAAAGGATTGCAGAGTACCTCCATGAAAGTTTTCTAGAGATATCCATGGAGGATTCCCGGACTATCCCAGTCCACATAAAAAGTAGTTTCCGGGGGCCACCCTCTGCATAGCTGGAGCAGCCTCTTGTAAGCAAAAAACCACAGCACCTCGTTTTTTCTTCACAGTAAACATGCAATACCACCGAATGTGTGCACCTGCTAAAGTTTAACTGGACTTTGACTGTAACTGTATACTCACCAGAGGTGCCTTCCCCGGCATCACGGTTGGTCACTGTGATGTCCTGTGACCTACAGGGCTCCAGGGTTAAAAATGTTTTCTGGCTCTCGGGGAGAATGGATCCACCGCTCACCTGTCTCCCATTCTCCTCCTCTTCCTCATCCACCATATCATCCTCCTTGTTGTCCCTAGACATTCACACCTGTGAGGTGTCCACGTTGCTTGCGGGGGTACTGGTAGGGTCACCCTGGAGAATCACATACAGCTCGTTGTAGAACCGGCATGTGTGGGGCTCAGCACCAGAACGACTGTTTACCTCCCTTGCCTTCTGGTACTCTTGGCGAAGTTCTTTTATTTTCACATGGCAGTGCTGTGTGCCCCTCGTATAGCCCTTCTCCCCCATTCCACGAGCGATCTTTGCATAGATGTCAGCGTTTCTTCTGCTGGATCGGAGATCTGCCTGCACAGACTTCTCACACAGTGATGAGATCCACCACCTCCCATGCAGACCAGGCTGGAGAGCATTTAGGGCATGTAGTCTCCATGATCAGCTGTGCTCAAGTTAGCATGCTCCCAATGCTGATCAAACAGGAAATGGGAAATCAAAAATTCCCAGGATTTTAGCAGGGGAGGGGCTGTTTCCTGTGTACCTGGCTGCAGTGCAGCAGAGTTGAGAATGATCTCAAGAGTGGTCACAGATGAGCATTGTGGGACACCACCTGGAGGCCAATTAAGTCGAATTACACAACGCTGCATCTGCACTACCTTGCAGTCAACCCATGAAAATCAAATTAAGTGCTATGCCTCTCGCAGAGGTGGATTACAGAAGTCAACATTGAGACGACTTGGTCGGCGTAAAGGACCCAGTAGTGTATGCACATACATTAACAGGTCGACTTAAGGCGGCTTCCTTTGACCTACCTCTGTAGTGCAGACCAAGCCTTAGTGAAACTACCTTGGTTAGTTTCATTTGCCATTTCTAGATTGTTTTAGTTTTAGAGTCTCATGCACTAGCAGGGTGTTGCTGTTTTTCCTCAGACTGAAGGGGAATCCTAACCTTTAAAAAAAGATTCAAAGACATGTTTTTATCATCTTCCTTTCCAAAAACCTAAATTCTAATCCTAAACCTGAGCACTTGACAAGGTTCCTTTACAAAGATACACAAAGTTATGAGCTCCCAAGTACAGCCTTATAAAGAAGATTTACTGTAATCTCCTAACTTAAACAGTATGGGTGAGGGCTAATCAAGTTTTTTGTTCAGAACATGCTATTCAAAGATTCTTACTGAAATTCTTGATAAACATGTTAAATGCAAGTTGCCTTCCCAAAGATCTTTTTGGTCAACAAATTAGATTAATCAACCCAATGAAATGTAACATGAGGGCCTACAATTTACATTAATATTTCCAAGATTAAATTTTGAGGCCAACCCAAGTGACTTTCTTGAAATAGTGGAGATGATTTGAGATACTCCATATTATAGTAATGTTTCCAGGATTTAAATATATTCCTACATTTTGGATAAAATTATGTATTTCAGCTTTCAAGAGAGACATTTACAAATTTCAGTATTTCAACTATCACTTTCAGGGAAGGAAGATGACCCTGGGATAGCCTCTTTCAATCTAAAAGAAAATGTGCTACAAAGACACATTAGCTGGTAATTGGAGAAATCTTTAAAGATTAATTACAAAGTCAACAATTACACTTCTTATTGCTACAAGCAGGGAGGACAACAGGGATATTCATCATGTAACTTAATTTTTTTTTCAGGGCTTAGCTAATAACCTTTCACCATCCAGCTTCCATTTCAGAATAATGTGGAATTATCATTGGATCTGGAAGAGTTACGTTTACAGTAATTCATGTGTTGAGTGTCCATCTTATCCTTGCTAACTGGGGCATACCAGTAGGGTTCTCCCATTTTCCAAAAGCCTTTCCAAATGACCATTTTGTATACAGCTTCTTTTTTGTAGGTGTAGTAAATATTTAGAATTTCTAATGCTGAGAACAGGCTTTTTGTGAATTGTAATTTGTCCTAAATGTATTAAAGAATGTAGCCTGAATTTGTTAGATGTTCTTTTGGTCATAAAAATGGAAATAACTGAATTATTATAATACAGATTTACAATGCAGATTCTCAATAAAGCTAAGTTTTGAAAAACTGAAATAATCACAACCAACATTAACATTAGGACATTCTTCCCTTATTTATTTAAATTACCAGGTATTTCTGAGTTGCATTGTCAATATCTTTGTACTGGAGTGGCATTTGGCTTTATAGAGTGATCAATCTAGCAGAAGTGACTAAAACCATTACACCAGCTGGTAAAATTGAAGCCACAGATGTTCTCAAATGGTGCTGCTACCACCACCAGCAGCCATGACTTTCCTCGAAAGTGAGTGAAAGTTGCACTGTCCACTTTTCAGACCCTGCCATTACAGAAAAGGCACCAAGCAGGTGGGCACCTTTCAGAAGGTGTCAAGTTAAGATACCTGAGCCAACAATCTTGTTTCAGGCTAGTTTTTCAAGACGTTATCATGTAACAGGTTCCCATTTGCTGAACAGCTAAGCATTAGCCAACATTTCAGCAGGTCATTTCCAGTGCATCTCAGCAGCAATGCATTTCCAGAGACATATTGCAAAAGGTAATATTAAAAGCAATTGTTGTCTAGAAAAAACTTTTTATGCACTTTCTGAAAAGAATAACTCACCACCAAGTAATCTTGAATTCATAGATGGGGCGCTTGCAGTAATAATGGTTTATCAGATGTTTATCACACACACCAATGCACTGATGATCCACAGTAATTCCCTTGTCTGACAGGTCTGTCACAATACAGTGCAGAAGATCGTATACATCAGCTACAGCCTCCCAGGGGCCAAAAGATACATCTACTTCACAGTGATGTTCAAACAGTTTTGTCTCGCTTTCACTTCTTTCAAAACGTAGAGAGTTGAAAAGTGGACACTCATATGGGGTGATGGGCATTTCTTCCTTGAAAACACAGATCTTCAACTTTGCAAATCTTGCTTTTCTCTGCATGGCTCTAAGCTTAGCTATTTCAATTATCCGCTCCAAGTGTTCTAAACAACAACAAAAGTAATAAACAGTGAATGTCATGTGAGGAACAGAACACAATGTTTTCATGTGGAATCTGATTACTTCATCAAAGTGGCATGAATTAATTATTCTTAAAACAATGCCAGAGGCAACAAAAGATATACTCAAGGGTTGCTTGCAGTTAGATACAGCCTACAATAATGAAATTAGCCATATTCATATTGAGAGTTTATATATGCCTTAAATTCCAGTTAAAAACAACCTTATGATTGCAAGGTTTATGATGACTGCTTGAGCAGTATGCCCGAAGTTCAAGTTGTGAAATAACCAAAGGATCACAAGACTGAGAAAAAGACCAAACAATCTGAGTTAAGTTAGGTGTGAAGTCACATGTATGGCATTATTCTCTTCGATTCAAGACCAGCCTTATACTGGCTTATTTTTAATATAAACCGTGTTCAGATAAGATCTCTTGGGTAATGCTATTATGTGCTACAAGGAACAATGCAAAACACAGTAGTTTTGCTATTGTCTCAAAAAAATTGATTGTGTTGCCTGTAAGCTCTTTGAGGCAGGGGCCTGTTTATTGTATGTCCAAAAAGTATTTAGCTCATTTAGGCACAATACACCTAATAATAAATAGCTGTTGAAACATTTCCTAAAGACCTCGAACACATAACCTCTTACCCAAGGAAAGAGATGCAGGCCCTCAAGAGAACCACCAAAGCAGACTCAAAGAAACAGTTTTGTTCAAGAATCTCTTCTCGCACTTTATGGGCTTGATCCTGCTCTCATTCAAGTCTAAGGAAAAATACTCATCACCTTGAATGATGCAGGTGGAAATGCTGTGTGGAGGCTTCAAAGATGTGAAGAGCTAGGATGTTAGAGCGTAACTACCCAAAAGCAAAGCCAAAAATTTAAGCTTGGAAATGGAAATTAGGGGCCTAATACGTTTGAGGATCTGGGTCAAAATTACTCCAGTGAATAGGAAATAGCATCAGAGCCGCAGGACTTTCTTCCTGTTCATGAAAACCCCCTTTGCATATTTACCTCAGAACACTTAAACACTATTAGAAAGTAAACTCAGTCTTTTGAGCATTATTTATACTACACATACCAAGCTACAATATATATCGTCACTATTCTTTAATTTACCTTTGTAATATGGCATTAAGCCCAGGAAAGCTTGTCTAACTTTTTCTCCCTTAAGAGGCTGGACTTCCTCTAGATTGTCCAGCAATGGTCCTATGGAATAATATTGAGCTTCCTTGTAAACTGACCTCACTCGTTCTCTCGATGGCAGGTCACCAGATCGCAGAAAGTTAAGAACATCTCTAAACAGAAGGGAGGGGGGAATATTATTCAATAACAAGTCTTAACATTTTTTGGGGGGAAAAAAAGAACATAATTGTTAATCTGACATGAAATGGAGACACCATTTTACTCAGTCCAGCAATTTTCAAATTCAGAAGGTAAGAAACAGCTCTCATTCTTATATGAACTGTGAACTCTATTTTCAAATGCACATTTTGAGTGGCATTTTTGAGCCTCCAGCTGGAAAATGTGATGTCTGTGAAGCTAGCAGTGTGGGGACCCCAGTTTAAAAACACAGCAAACAAAACATTCAGGATGCTTTAATCTCTTAAACTGAAACAGGACACAGATTATAGTCTCCCATTGACAACACAGTGATTATAATTGTCATTAAGTACCCGATTTTGCTGAAGAATTATGTGGGCAGATCCTTCGGCCCACTGAAAACCTCACTAACATCAAAGAGCTCCAGGTGGGCGAGTAGTGTCTGGCTGTGGAGTTGTCTTTACAGGATCAGGGCCTTCTGCAATTATTCTGACAACAGAATGAGTGTTTCATTTGAATGTGTTTAACAATAGTTTAGATCAGAATGCTTTGAAGATGGAAAAAACACTTTACAAACATTAACTAATTCATCCTATTAGCGAACATACAACGTGAAACAAAGGACACACCTGCTGCTTGGCCCTTCTTTACAATATTGCAGGAAATATATAAAGTGCTGGTTTGGTTCGATAGTGTATATCACAATTAACTCAGTTTCGAATAAGAGAGTTGCCCGCAGTAAGAAGCTCACAGATGCCAACACTTGTTTTCAAATAAACAAATCAGCTTAATCATACTAGGAAATTCTGTCTTGATATATTTTGGACTTTGTGGTGGATTAAGGAACAGCACTGATTGGCTTTGAAGAGAATTAGGTCCTCAACTGGAGAGATGAAGAACATCCCTCTGGGAAAAAGTATTTTGGAAATGAGGTTAGAATGTCCAACATATATGTCTACAAGCAAAGATCTGATTCTGAAAACACTTACTATCTGGAGTAGCGATTACTGCCAACAAGGGGAACTAAACATCAGCAGAATCATGCTCAAAATAAATAAATAATAAAAAGCAAGCTAATATCTTGTTTGAGACCTTTAGAAGGATAACAGCGCTCTGAATATAACATTGCCAGGCATCAGCAATTTAAAATAAGTTCTTCGACCCCTGCATTTTCCCCCACCTATAATATGTAAACAGGTCTTTTTAAAACAATAAAAGATTATTATGCTTTGCTTTCTCCCTGGTCCAGGGAGTAGATGATCCACGTGCAAAACAAAGATTAATCCTACTACATTTTGCAGAATGTATTTGTTGGAAAGTGAAAATCCCCAAAAGGCATAGCTTTTACGCTAATCTTCAGCTTTCTGAAGTGCATTATAATTCGAGCTGGGCCAGATTTCCAACAACAAATTCTCTTTCAGAGAAAGTCTGGCCATTTTGGATGTGGATAAATATCTGCAGGCTTGAAACAATGCTGCACATTTCATCAGTATGTAGTGTTAATCTGTTCACCTGAAATTCAGATATGTGAAATTCAGGCAAATAAAAATGCAGACAACAGAAAAGAGGAAAAATAAAAAAAGGTAAAAATTTGCAATTTTATCCAAAATGACGAGATTCGGCCCCTCTAAGTATTATAGTATGATTAACAGGGTAGAATATTTTATACTGAAGTCAAGCTTGTAAATGTCAAACACAATACTAGTTGTCATTCTTAACAGCATGTTATACTCTACACTTGGACGAATCTCTACAAATATTCCATTAAACATTTGAAAATTGTGACAACCAAAAGAGGACGTTATCAATTATCTTAGGAACATCACTGCCATGCCCTTTTTAGGGTAAAAACTACAAGATAATACCAACAAAAATCACACACACACACCAAAAAAAGGCCACAATCATGTTGTTACAAGAAATGGTGTCAAATACTCAACTTTTAATGTACGAGCAACTTGGCTCCCTGGATGGAGCTATTTTGTGCGTTTGTATGTACACACACACACACACACACACGCTTACTTTTGCTGAGGACCAAAACATTGTTTAGGGTTTTTTTTGGTAAAGTGAGTTACAATCATTAGTTATGAAATAATAGGGGTTTTGGCACTGCAATGTACCAAGAAGTTTGACAGTTTTCTGGAAGATGTTTTAAAAACTGTAGTTGTATGTTAATCATACTAGTCTTTGATAAAAGATGCAATTCAAATGGGATTGAATTAGAAGACTGCAAACGAATTCTTGCCTTTCTTAAAATTAATGTTTCCTATCACAGTAACAGTTTCAAAATTAGAGTAGTAAGGATAATGCACATACCCAAAGTAAGTTCCGTCTCTGTCAATAAAATATCTGCCTTGAGCATCTGTTGGAATGTAGTGTCTTCCACTAAACATAGCAGCCAACATGGTATCTTCATAACGTCTTAGTGTTGACAGCCTGGTAGCGAAATACATGCCTCCTACATTAAGCGGAACAACTTCTGGGAACTGGAAAAGCAATCATATCACTATTTAAAAATTATTCTGTGGTGCTTCACAAACATGTATATGACAAGATCCCTTGACCCACACAGAGGAGAATCTCTATGAAACACAGGATAAGATTACAGCTCGAAGATGGCACAAAGACACGGTCTGCGAGGAGATCAAAGTCTGAAGGTTTCATAAAGAGCGGAGGAATAGGGAGAGGGCGATCTCCTGGCACAAAGGAAGGAGGAGACTTTTCCAAGCATAAAGCCACTGCATGAAAGGCAGTAACCCAGGAGTGAAACTAGGGAATGAAGGAAGCAGTTCAGAGAAAGAAATGAGCAGGTAACAACTTTTGGCAGATATAGGTCAAGGAAGAGTTGTGCTGAGTTTAGAGGGTAAGAATTACTGATATTTATAATAGGGCAGCAAGCACTTCTTTTTCCAGTGTAGAAGACAGCAGATAAATCCTAACGTGGATGAGGGGAGGGGATGGGTTTCGAGGGTAATACGCCTGGCTATCAGGCAAAAAAGGAGTTCAGTTTCATTCACCAAGCTAGTTGGCAATGGAAACTAAACCAGAAACTCTTAAGACTTCAGCCTGAGGAATAATGGATTCCCGGACACTGTACAACGCAGGCTCAAATGTGAGCACCTCATCAGCTCAGATGAGAACAGTCTTACAGCACCCTTACCTGCTGAGGCAGCAGAGGCAGTGAGTGCCCTGCCTGAGTTGCAGTAGGAGTGGCAGGGTCTTGGAAATCATCCTCTGCATCTGAACTCGACATGGCATCGTCCAGATTTCCACTGGCTTTGTTCTGCCCTGTGACTACCACCATCCCTCTGGCTCTTGTAACTAGGTCTGCTGGGCAGACAGCCGTGGCAATGCTAAATGAGACAAGACCCAAAATTATCTGGATACTTTCCCTACCAGCTGCAGACAATCACAGGGCTGACAGAGAGACATAATTGTCCTGCTTTTTACAAATAATTTATAACACTGTTATTATTGGGAAGTGAATCATTGTAAGGATGATTATTATTGTGCTGTGAGTCAAGCTCACAGATGCACATATATCTGGAGGAATGCAGTCTGTCCAGCAGTGCCAGGAAATCTCGTCAGACCCAGAGCAGGAGACCCCTGACACTGGCTGAATAAAATGCTGATTTTCATTCGCTGCCCAATTCAGTGTCTGATTGGCTTAGTTCGTTTCAGCAGCAGAGCTGTCATTTCCCAACTGAATTCCAATTAGCTATTGGTTCACCTGCCGCTAAATTGCAATTGGCTGTTTGCAGAGTTGTGTTCTGAAAGCTGTTCTCTTATTGGTTGGACTGCGCTGTAGTAATCCTGTTATTGTTTACAATAATGTTGCAAGATGATTAAATGACTTGACATCTTTCAAAGCAGTTTTGGCTCTGCTGTGTGTTAGTGCAGTAGCTTCAGATGCTTACAGCAGGGCTTTCTGCACATTGTGCCTCACCTGAAGGCTTCTGGTGCAGTTCTACCAAGTCACGTAAAATGTTAACCCCAAAAAACGAGCTAAAAACATGTTGATTAAATTTTTCTGTGAATTGAGTCTCACACCGTTGTGGATTTAGACCAATGCAGCATGATGTGAATAATAAAGGCCTATCTTATGTAACAGAAAAGCGAGGCTGACTAGGTGGAAATACTGTGCTCTCTTCTGTGCAGCATGGGGGGAATTAGTAAGGGAGGGAGCAGGGAAGTCAGAAGGCACCATTGAATCCTCCTCTTCTGCCACCATTCTCTACATTTTGTTTTCTCACCGAGTCTTTTGCTCCTATAAAAAGACTTGTGTACATAGTGCAAGTGGAAAAACACCACAGCTCAAACAACTTATTTTAGATTTCTAGCAGTGCATTAAACATACGCCTACGTTATCCTAATATTTGTGATGGTCTCACTTAAGTTTGTAGCTGGTTTTACATTGTTATTACTCGGGCCGGATACTGGTATTTTGTCATGAATGGGACTGCTCAAAGAAGCAAGCTTCACTCCAAGATTAGGACCTTTGTTTACAGGTCTTATCTTTCTCTCACGTTGGCATTCTAGCCTCATTTCCAACACATCCACAGGGTGTCCCTCCAGCCTGGGGACTGAATTCCCTTCAAAGCCCATCACCACTGCTCCTCAGTCTGTCAGAAAGTAAAGTACAGAAACTCAGCAGGTTTTAGTATAACCAACCTGTGAACTGTATTATTAAACAGTTTTTATTTCCATTTCAGAGGAAGACAGGCTACCAGTAGCCTCTCCCACAACAATTCAGCTCTTTGGAATAAGCTACCATCTGCTTCCACCCCACATTCCTACCCTTTCCGGTTGGGGGAGTACGAGTTCCTGGAGTCTTTTCTCCATTCTTGGATTCCGTCTGCAATAGTCCTTCAGCACCTAGCACGTCAAGTGTCTCTTGTTTTTAAGCTTCTACATTAACAGTAATCTGCTTCCTTATCCAGTGTCACTTATTTATCAAAGCCAGCCTGCTCACAGGTAACAGATACCAGCACGGAGTTATTTAAAAAAATAAATAGTAATAATAAATATGACCAAATCATTTATCTGAAGGGGAGTGAGAGAATGGACTTTACCCTCTCCCACCTGACCAAAAACAACCCTAATTTTGAACTAGCAATCTCTGATGGTCTCCACATATGTCTACAGTAGCCTTTTAAAAAAAACAAAAACAAAAAAACACCTGCCATCATTAGCACTGCCAGCGTCAGATACGCCAGCGCTCTCAACTTAGCTATGTACTACAATACCTATATGGCCCCCATTATCAAAGAATCTGAGCACTTCACAGTCTTTACTGTGTGTATCCTCATGACACCCCTGTGAGGTAGGGCAGTGCTATTGTCCCGATTTTACAGAGAGGGAACTGAGGCTCAGAGAGGCTAAGTGACTTGCCCAACATCACAGAGGGAGTCTGTGGCAGAACAGATAATTGAAGTTAGGTTTCCCAAGTTAGCATCTGTCACGGGCAATGCTCTGGAACTGCTCCATATGAAGCCAGTCAGGACTCTGGGGGAGCCTCCCCTCTCCGAGCATACTGTCTCCAGGGCAAGAAGCTTACACAGCTTCGACCTTCCTGGGTCTGACCTCGGAGCATTCAGCATCCCCTTCTCAACACCATGCGCTTCTCACAGCGAGTCCGCACAGGCAGGGGTCCTGGGGAAGCCAGTGGGCCCTGCACCCCAACTCTGCAGTCAGACATGACTCTCAGCCAGCCAGTAAAACAGAAGGTTTATTAGACGACAGGAACACAGTCCAAAACAGAGCTTGTAGGTACAGGAAACAGGACCCCTAAGTCAGGTCCATCTTGGGGGCAGGGAGGCCAGGCCCCGGGTCTGGGCTTCCCTCTCTTTCCCCAGCCAGCTCCAAACTGAAACCCACTCCAGTCCCTCCTCTGGCCTTTGTCTCTTTCCCAGGCCAGGAGGCCACCTGATCTCTTTGTTCTCCAACACCTTCAGCCGGCACCTTTGCAAGGGAGGGGCCCAGGCCATCAGTTGCCAGGAGACAGGGTGTCAGCCATTCTCTGTGCAGACAGCATCACACTGGCCCTCTAAGGCTCTGCAACAATCACACACCCTTATCCCACCACCTACATACTTGATACTTAAGACATGCATAGGGGAAACTGAGGCACCCACAAAGTATTCAGAGAAAACATTAAGAACATTCCCACTTTGTCACAGCATCCTAACCATTGAAACATTATTTCTGTATGAGCGTTTTAACCACCATCTAATGGTTACTTAGTAGGCTATGTGAAGTGAGTTTGGTGGTCTGACTCCTGATCCCAGTGGGATCCCAACAGACACTATAGTGATGGACACAGCATAAGAATCCACAGAGAATAGAATTTAAACACTAAAAAAAAAAAAATCACCAAAACTAGCAACCTTGTTGGCAGCCTCAGCCTTGTTGTAGTCGTGCTGGTCCGAGGATATTAGAGAGACAAGGTGGGTGAGGGAATATCTTTTACTGGGCCAACTAGTGTCAGTGAATGAAACAAGCTTTTGAGCTTACGTAAAGCTCTTCTTCAGGTCTGGGAAAGGTATTCAGAGCGTCCCAGCTAAATACAAGGGTGGAACAAATAATGCGTTAACATGCTGCAAGAGACTATTCAAGGTACAATGGGCAGTTAACATTGACGACTAATTATTTAATGGACTTAGATACTGAACTACCTTCCAGAGGCGAGTCTATACATCCAGCTCAGGTTTGAGGGATACTGAGGGTAGAAAAACTCCCCTTGCTGCCTCCCATGCTGTATCTGTCCTGCAGCTGGAGAACCGCAGTCTCCATGGGCTGACAGTCCAACACCTTTCACTCGCACCAGCTTCCATTAATCCCCAATCCCCTAAAAAAGGTATTTTTAAAAAGACTGAACAAAAATGAAAGCATGGCTTATAATAGCAACAGCCACCTCAGTGTCTTTCCGACAGAAACTGCAATAGATGCAAACAATCAAAATAAGTGTTTCATGAAGCAAGCAACTTTTCTTCTGAAAAGGAAACAATTTAATTTTTCTGCTAGCTGATGTACTGAAAGCAGAATGGACCCCCCCCCCCCAACCAGCCCCAAAATAAAAATATTTAATTATTCATGATGGGAAATCAGACCTACCGGAAGACTGTATTTTCCATTAATAAACCTCTCAACTTTTAGCTTTGGAATAGCACGTGATGCTAAAGATTTGTTTACTTGAATGCTCCAGCTATATTAACTATGAAGAATTCCCTTCTCTACTACTCCAAAAGCAACAGGCACAGAATACTTTGCATGTGCACACCACTGGGGATATTAACCACTCTCCCAATTCACTTTTAGCATGAAAGGAGGGGTAAAATACCTTAAAAAGTCACTTAGCTACTATATTTTCATATTCCACTGTTTGGAGCCCCTTCTCTTGAAAATAGAATATTTTCCCTCATCAGATTTCCCTAAGCACTGCTTGATACTTACCACCAGTATTTTATCTGATGTTGAAATTAACAAGGTCATTTCTTGCCTAAAGACTACACATATTTTAACATGTTTATAGGAAAAACTGTCAGTATTTCTTTTTCATAAGCAGGAAATATACAGTACTGAAGATAGATTACAATCACTCTGCATATTACAAAAAGATACACAACTTATTTTAAAAAGTATAGCAGAAAGGTTTTTAACAAGTGTCTTATGTTAGTGGAATTTGTTTTACATCAAAAGGGACAACGGGAACAGAGTTAACTCCACACTCACCACAAGTGCCAGGGAAAGTTTCATCCGTTGGAGCCACGAAATGGGCAAGATGATTTAGTAGAAGATCTCAGAACAAACCAAATGTAGCATCCTCAATGAAAGTTCTGTGAAAGCTAAAGCAATGGAGCAGATGCCCTTTTCATAATGAAGATTGCTAAAAGCAGCCCTATACCCTACATCAATATTGAACATTCAGATGATTTTGCCTAATGGAGCGTATCAGTTTTAAACATAGATCAGATTTGGGACCCTAAAACATTGTGTTTGCTCTCTGCAGCTCAAACACTGCAAATGTAAAAGAAGAAATCATGGTAGAGGCTCCATTGGGAGATTTGGGATTTGTAACATTCAGGAGCTGGAATTACTGTGATTTATATCCTGTGCCTACTGAGAGTCCTGCAACAAAAGATGGCAAAGTAATAAGAGGAACCCTTTCCTTGGAGAACAGCTCCCTCAGAGGACTTGTAATCGGGCACTATCCTCAGCCTCTAGTCTTTTATCCAGAGCCAATTTATTCTTATTGGTTTTCATGTCTTTGGCAAATTGTTCTTCAAAGTCTCTCTTATCCCTTCC